GGGGGCGGCGGGAGGCCGTGGCGACGTGAAGTCCCGCGAATTTGGGCCCGGTCCCCACCCCGAGCGAGGGAGGGCCGAAGTCTGTTCCTGTCCTTCCTGATCTGCCAGGCGAAATCGTGATGAGGAATATGTGCGCGATTTGGAGAACTTTGTTGGGGGTGGGGGAGGGGTCCGGGGAGCCGAGGAGAAAGGAACATTTCTTTCGAATGTAGATTTCCAAGCCCCCTTCTCTTCCTTTACATTTTTCCAGATTTAGGAGACTTCAGGAAAGTGGGACAGATAGCATAGAGATGGCAAAGATTTCTTTGGGCCTGGCGAAGTGATGGAATAATTTCTAATTTGGGGAGGAGGCAAAAGTGGTGAAAAAAAGACCACTGGGACGATTTGGGGGCTTTGTTTCTCTGTCTTCCTGGGCGGAGAGATGAGAACTGGCCTGAGGTTTTGGGAGAAGACCATAGGAAGTTACATCCTCATACTCTGTCCCCTCAGCTGTAACCCCATGCTGGTATGGCGGAAGATGAGCCTGATGCTAAAAGCCCCAAGACTGGGGCAAGGGCCCCCCAAAGTGGTGCTGAGGCCGGGGAACCTACCACACTTATTCAAAGACTCCGAGGTACCATTTCGTAAGTACCTGTCACTGCTTCCAAATCTCGGTGCAGACTTCTGGATAGATCCCAGTAGCAATTCACTTCCTCTGGAGATGAGCTGAGTCCAGAGAGAGCAGAGGGCCATTCCTGGTTCTAACCGCAGTGTTTTGTTTTTGTTTTTTTCCTTGCGGTACCCGGGATTGAACTCAGGACCTTTCGCTTGCCAGCACCACTGAGCTAAATCCCCAGCACCTGACAGCAATTCTTGAGGGCCTCCTAAGCATTTTAAACCCCCTCCCCCAGCAGGCCAACAAAGAGATGGGAAAACCTTGTGTGTGACCTCTAGCTTTCTGTTGTCCACAGCAAGGCCGTGCAGAACAAAGTAGAAGGAATCCTGGTAAGCACTTTGGGCAGAGGGCAGTGAAGTGGTGCCGTTGGTAGGGATGGGGGTGGTGGGGTCGAAGTGAGTGAATGGAAGGCTTATGTGGGAGATGCACTGTTGTCAGAAGATAATTGGCTTTGGGTTGGGTGTCAGGAGGATCAAGAGTTCAAGCCCAGCGTAGGCAACTTAGTGAGACCCTGTCTCAAAATTAAAAAGTCAAAAGGGCTGATGATGTAGCTCAGCACAAAGGCCCTGGATTCAGTCCCCAGTACCATGTAAGAAAAAAATCATTCGCTCTGGGACTTGCTCCCAGTTTGAGCTTCTTACTTCATCTCTCTCAGACCTCTGAATAGCAGCCCAGTAGAGCTGGTGGTGATTCCTCTGCCCCCGCTTCCATGGAAGCCCGTAAGGGTCAAACCCTGGGCCTAATGTGTGCTAGGCAAGTGCTCTACTCCTGAGCTCCAGCTCCAGCCTCAAATCATTTTTAAGGTCCATTTCAGTCTGAGAACCTCTACGGTCAGCTGGATTTTGTGGTACAAATCAGAGGATCCTACATTAGATCCTTCCTGACCTTATTATCTCTCCTGCCTCTGTTCCCGCTCACCTCAGCAAGATGTGCAGAAATTCTCAGACAACGACAAGCTGTATCTCTACCTTCAGCTCCCGTCAGGGCCCAGCACTGGAGACAAAAGGTAGGTTTGGTGACAGAGTTTTAGGAATCAGAGGTCCTGAGTCTTAGAGACCATCTCACTGGAGAAGGCCAGGTGAGTAGAAGACTCAACAGCTGTTATCTGCCCTGCCTTGGTTTTGCAGGGAAAGGTAGATTCTGGGTGAACTGACTTGAGCCAACACTATCAAAGTGCTAATCTGAAGAACCAGGACAACTGCCGGGGTCTCAGTGACGCGTGTCCTTTTACTTCCCTTTCAGTGCAGAGCCGAGCACTCTTAGCAGTGAGGAGTACATGTATGCCTACAGGTGGATCCGCAACCACCTAGAAGAGCACACGGACACCTGTCTGCCAAAGCAGAGTGTTTATGACGCCTATCGGTGGGTGAAGCGTTGGGGCCTGGGTTGGTGGGCCTAGCCCCTTCTTCCTGCACAGCTCCTTGCCTTGATAGAGCCTGCGTGTTACTCTGGACTGAATCCAGGGCCTTTGCACTGAGCTATAACTCCAGCCCTTTCTTATTTTTAATATTGCAAGGGGGAAAAAAAATACTGAAATGGGGTCACTAAGTTGCCTACGCTGGGCTTGAACTTGTGATCCTTCTGCCACAGTCTCCCAAGTACTGCGATTCTAGGCGTGCACCACCATGCCCATTGTAGATCCTGTCTTTTTAGAGTTCTCCACGCATGTCCCCTAAGGGTCCTCTGAACCCACCCATAGCCTTCTGTCCTCTCTCTGTGCCCCTCACTCATCAGGAAGTACTGCGAGAGTCTTGCCTGTTGCCGCCCACTCAGTACAGCCAACTTCGGCAAAATCATCCGAGAGATCTTCCCTGACATCAAGGCCCGAAGGCTGGGTGGCCGGGGCCAGTCCAAGTATCCTTGCTTGGAGAGGCGGGGGCTGGAGGACCTGGGGAGGAAACAGGATGCAGAGGGCCAGGAGTGGAGACCGCCCAGCCCAGCTCGGGTTTGGAGAGACCGAATGTTGGCTGCTCCTTAACTTGTGTCAGATACTGCTACAGTGGCATACGAAGGAAGACCTTGGTGTCTATGCCACCCCTCCCTGGACTTGACTTGAAGAGTTCTGAGAGTGTAAGTAGCAACCTCCAGCTCCACTCTCCTCTGGGGTAAAAACCAGAGGTCTGTGAAACATGTTTTGAGGGCTGACACAGTCTAGGTCATTGTGTGTATTCTGTGTGCCTTTCTGTCTATGATGTGGACAAGGCAGAGGCAAAAGAGTTTGTGGGCTTCTAGTTGGGGTGGTCTGAGACTGTTTCGATCTCCAGCCTATTCTCTGCTTAGGGCAATATGGTAGTAGTGGCGGGGGGGTAGTTTGGAGTGTGACTGGACATGTCCTTCCCCCGCCATAGCCGGAAATGGGCCCGGAAGTAACCCCTGCACCTCGGGATGAACTGGTGGAGGCAGCCTGTGCCCTGACCTGTGACTGGGCAGAGCGGATCCTGAAACGGTCCTTCAGCTCCATTGTTGAGGTTGCCCGCTTCCTGCTGCAGCAGCATCTCATCTCTGCCCGGTCTGCACACGCCCATGTGCTAAAGGCCATGGGGCTTGCTGGTGGGTTGATCCTCTTAGTCTGAGAATGCTCAGGCCCTTTCAGCTTTCACACTGGAATCACCCTCTACTCCTGGAGATCCTTCTAAGATACACTTTAGCCCTCTGCTTTCCCTGATTGTCCCGGCAGCCAGGCACTCAGAATTACCTAACTCTGGGCCGGTGATTTAGCTCAGTGGTTCCGCTGCCCACCTCGCAAGTGCAAGGTCCAGAGTTTGATCCCCAATACCAAAAAAAAAAAAAAAAAAAATTTTTTAAAAAAAAAAAAAAAAAAAAAAAAAAACACCAACAAAAAAAGAATTGCCTCTCTCCTCCATTCCTCAGTTTCCCTCACCCTCTCTATTACCGCTCTGTTACCTTTTCCGGCACCTCTGCAGAAGAGGACGAACATGCCCCTCGAGACCGATCATCTAAGTCCAAGAATGGTGTAGAGAACCCAGAGGGGGGAGCCCACAAGAAACCAGAGAGACTGGCCCAGGTAAGCAGCCCCTGGCCACGGGCTTAGTACACCCTCCCACCGGTGAGTCCCTTCCTTCCCCGTCTCTTGTGCCCATTTCTTTGGCTACACCATCTCCAGTGCCTTCCTGGGATCCTCTTTTTTTAGCCTGCCAAGGAGCCGGAATCGCGGGCTGGGGCTAGCCCTGCAGCACGTGGAGAGCGGAAGAAGACTGTCATCGAGAGCTCGGCCCCAGCAGCCAGTAACCCACAGGTTAATGCCCTAGTGGCCCGGCTGCCTCTACTCCTTCCCCGAGCCCCTCGCTCACTCGTTCCGCCGATCCAAGTCGCTTCACCCATCCTGGCCCCGAAGCTTTCTTCAGGCACCCTGAAAGTGGCTACGCTACCTCTGCCCAGTAGGGCTGGGGGACCCCAGGCAGCTGTGCCCATCATTAACATGATCTTACCAACTGTTCCTGCTTTACCGGGGCCGGGCCCGGGGCCAGGACCTGGGCCCGGGCAAGCTTCACCTGGAGGACTGACTCGGCCCCGGGCCGCAGAGAACAGGGAGGTAGGCACAGGTGCTGACCCAGGACCCCATGACAAGGGTGTCAAGAGGACGGCGGAAGTGCCCATGAGTGAGGCCAGTGGCCAGGACCCGCCACCTAAAGCAGCAAAGCAGGACACAGAGGATCCAGCAAGTGATGCCAAAAGAAAACGGGGGCGCCCCCGAAAAAAGTCAGGTGGAAGCGGGGACAGAAATTCTACCCCTGAGAAGTCAGCAGCAGCTATGGACTCTGCCCAGGCCTCAAGGTTACCATGGGAGATCTGGGGCCCAGGAGGGGAAAGCAACTCAGCTGGAGGGGTAGAAAGGCCAGGGCCCTTGCAACAGGCTGAGCAGCGGGCAGTACTTGCCCGGGCTCAGGAGGACGGTGCTGTTTCTAAAGGAGGAAGGGGCCCTAGTTCCCGGCAAGCCAAACAGGCAGAAGATAAAATTCCTCTCATTGCCCCCAAAGTGAGTGTCATCAAGGGCAGCAGAAGCCAAAAGGAAGGTCTTCAGGTGGTAAAGGGAGGGGCAGACACGGCTGCGCAGGGTAATAAAGGCTCAAAGGGGCACGTGCTTCAAAGCTCTTTAAGGCTTGAGTGTAAAGAGCCTAAGATGACACCCCCGTGACGCCAGGTCCTCGGGGTAGCTCCAGGTCCAGGTCCCCGCCGGCGTTTCTGCATTCGCTTCTTCGGCTGTGCCCTCCCTTCCGTGTCCTCTGTACAGACTGAGTCACCCAGCCTTACGTACTGCCTGGTGGCTGCCTCTGACCTTTCCAGCTCAATGCTTTGGCCTCGGTGTAACCAATAAATCCGTAGTAACCTACCCTGGGTTCCTGTGCCCTCCTGTGGGAAGACGGATGGGGTAAGTATGGTGAGTGTATAGGTTAGGGGACTTCTGGTTCTCAGTCACAGAAAGCCTGACTCACAATGGCTCAGGATAAGAAGGATGATTGGCTTATGAATGGGAAAGGCCGCTAGTGCTGGCTCCAGGTGACGCTCGACTCTAGATAACCCGACTGATTTTCTGTCTTCGCTGCTCCACCTAATGTAAAATCATCTTAAACCCGGGCCCCCTCATAGCCGCGAGCACTCCCGGATTACATTTGTCCAATTCTGTACAACCAGGAATCCCAGCAGAAGCCTGAAAATTCACTGTGATTAGGCCAGCCTGAGTCATGTTCACCCCTGACCCCCAGTGTGGCCGGAAGACGGGACGCTAATGTGCTCGTTCTACATCGCGGAGCACCCTTTTGCAGGGAAGGGGGTCAGACTCCTCACAGGCAGATTCCCCAGGTGGAGCCTGGGCGGGATCGGCCACACCTGGAGGTCCGAGCTCCCAGGCTGCTTGGCTGAGATCAGCTCCGCCTGCTTCCTTTCCCGCGGTCTTACGTTTCCCTTACTGCAGCTGCAACTGACCTCTGTCCTCTTCTAGTCTCGAGGAAGGAGAGAGAAGTCATTTTCTTTTCAGGGACTTTCAGCTTAGCTTCGACGAGAGCCCTTTTCCCACCTGCTCTGCAGACACGGAGCTCCTTCCTCTTCCTGTTTCTGAGTTTTCTCTTTCACTCCTGCTTCCCGATCCCCCAGTCTACTGCCTTTCACCACCTAGAGTGAAAAACTTCCTGCCTGGTCATTCCATTAAATTCATCCTGTATCTACTAGATGTCAGTCTCTTGTCATGGATGTGTTGGGACGTAGCCAGGGCTGCGATTTAGGCCAGATGTAGGGAAGGGGGTAGTTGTGGAGTCCATGCGGACCCCGCAGGTGTGTCCTTGGGAGGAGCAATAAATAAACTTCATACTTATTGAGGGCCTACTTTGTCCTCACCTTAGGGTAGCTTATGTCAGGGAATCTTGGCTCTTCCCAAGAAACAGACTTTTCCTTCAGGGTGATGTCATTCATTTGTCCATTTATTTCCACCACCACAGACTTAAAAATTATAATGAAGCCAGGCGTGGTGGCGCACGCCTGGAATCCCAGCACTCAGGAGGCTGAGGCAGGAGGATTGCTGTGAGTTTGAGACCAGCCTGGGCTACACAGTGAGTTCCAGGTCAGTCTCACTACCTAGTGAGACCCTGTCTCTAAAAGTTTAAAAATTAAAAAATAAAATTATAATGTGATAGTTGCTGGAAAGAATATCTAACAAATTATGAAAGATAACGAGCACCTGTGACACATCACTCAACTTACACATTAAAATTAGAAATGCCTTTGAGTTTGTGTTCCTCCTTGCGGCTTCTGAGGTGACCACTGTCTAACTGTTAATGATTTATTTTATATGTGTGTGTGTGTGCGTGTGTGTGTGTTTTAATCATATGTATATGTTCTTTTAAAGTTATTTGGTTTTGCTTGGTTTGGGGGCTTTACAAAAGCTTTAGACTCTACTAGTCCCTTAAAAGTTTGGGGTTTTTTTGCACTTAACCATTGTTTCTAACATTCATTCATGCTGTTGCAATAGCTGTGATTCATTCATTCCCAGGTGTATAGTATTCTGTCAAGTGCATTAAACACCAGTTGTTTGGCCGTTCACCTGTCGATGGATATTTGGGCTGTTTCCAGCTTTTTGCTATTACAAACAATGCTGCTATGAACATTCTTGTACATGTCAGTGCCTTTGTTTTTAGTAAGATTTCTAAGGACGTTTCTGAAATGGTCTGTATACTCATTTGGGAACTGTTTCCTCTTGTCTTATTCTCTGGAAGAGTTTACATCAGAATGAAATGAATTGTTCCTTGAATATCTGGTAAAATTTAACTTGTAAAACCATCTGAGCCTGCTACTTCTTTGTGGGAATCATTTTAACTCTGGTTCGGTTTCTTTATAATTTCAAACGATTTGGGTTTCCTTTGTTCTTCCTCCTTTCTTTGTTTCCTCTTTCCCATCAGTCCTACAGGCTGTACCCAAAACCTTCGCACTGAGCTACACCCTTCATATTTTCAGACACGGTCTTGCTAAATTACTAAGTTGCCCAGGCTGGGATCAAACTTGCTGTCCACTTGCCTCAGCCTCCCAGGGTGTTGGAATTACATATGGGCACCTGCTCGCTACACTTCTCCACACACCCCCAAGTTTTTCTGGGTTATACAGTATTTTCATTACTATTAGCTCTAAAAAAATATTTAAATTATCTTTGAGACTTTTTTGTTATTACGATACTGGGGATTGAACTCAGGGCCTTTGCACTGAGCTACATTCCCAACCCTTTTAAAATCTGAAGCAAGGTCTCCCTGATTCATTAAGTTGCCCAGGCTGGGCTTGAACTTGTGATCCTCCTGCTTCAGCCTCCCAGAATGCTGAGATTACAGGTGTGCACTACCAGACCTGGCTCCCTTTGAGATTTTTTTTGATTCATCAAACAAATTTTTTTTTCTGTTTCATCATGGGCTTCAATCCCAGGCCTTCACACTACCACTGAGTCATATACTTCATGAAAGCGCTTCATCATGAGTTTTTTTGTTCATTGGTTTTTGGTTTTTTGAGACAGTCTCACTATGTAGTTCAGGCTGGCCTTGAATTCAGTGATCCTCCTGCCTCAGCCTCCTGAGTGCTGGGATTACAGGCGTGCACCATCATACTCAGCTGCTCTTGAATTATTCAGAAAAGATTTGGGGGGGTGAGAGACAGGGTGTTAGGATGTAGCCCAGGCTGGTCTTGAATTTGTAGTGACCCTCCTGCCTCAGCCTCTGCAGTCTAGAATTACAGGGCTGCACCACCATGCCTGGCCCTATAACTTCCCAAATGTCTAGACATTTAAAGTTTTTTATCATTTTAATCATTTGTGTAAAGAATATGGTGTCTCTGATATCAATTCTTTGAGATGTGTTGGTAGTATTTTATGTATCTTTAAGTCTAAATCTGTTTTTACTGTTTTGTGCTGATTCGTTCCAGTGGTTGCTTATTTCCTTGTAAATTTTTTATTTTCAGGCTTTAAACTCTTATTTTGTTAAACTAAATCTACAGGAATCTTGAGGGGCTAAACTGGACTCCTTTTCCTCCAGGGAAGATTTGTATTTCCGTCTGCCAGCAGCCCAGGGTACTGACCTGGAACTGTGTCAGCCCCTTCCCGGGTCCGGGTTTCAGCTGGGTATGGAGGTGAACACATAATCTCAGCACTCAGGAGTGAAAGTTAAAGCCCAGCAGAGACTTAGTAAGATTCTCAAAATAAAAAATGACAAGGCTGGGGGTGTAGTTTACTGGGTTCAGTCCCCAGTACACCCCACACACACCAAGTCCAGGTTTAGTGGTTCGGGTGTAGCTCAGTGGCAGCATGCTCGCCTAGTGTGTACTACAAGGCCCTGGTTTAATCAAGGAGACCCCAGTCCTTCACCTTTTCCTTGGCTGGACACAAGCTTTTACCTTCACAGCCCTGACCTTGCCACTGGCACCAGGGCAAACCTCCTTCTTTTACCAAATTTCTATCCAAATTCCTGCTTAATGTATTTTCTCCTAAAATGTCAGAAGTAGGAATTCATTAATGTGGTTGGTTTTGATACTTTCCTTTTTTTTTTTTTTTTTTTTAAGTGCTAGGCACCTGTTAGAAGCAGACTCCCGTACACTCTACCCTCACACGTTCTAGTTGGGCGGGCAGTGAGCAGTGGAGCCCCGGGGAAGCCGGCACAGTGGCAGGACGGGTCAGAGACAGCTTCCCAGCACAGAGGAGTCACAGCCAGCTGGACAAGTCCAACCGTACAGCAAGGACAAAACAACACAAGGCAGGTGGTAAAAAGAGCTACGTCACGAGGCTCTGCTGCTTAAGAACTAAATGCAGGAACATTGGTTTGGGCTGATTTGAGAAGGCCCTGTGGAAAAGGCAGGATTGAGGTAAATCTTTAAAGTGAGGTAAAAAAGAAGAGGTCATTCCAGAAAAAGGGTGTGTGGCTGGGGAGTGGCAGTGCAGCCTGGTAAAGGCAGGTCAGCCAGAAGAGATGGGTATGAATTGTAAGAAATAGAAGAACACCACCGACTACTGATTGAGAAAATGGGTAAGCTGGGTACAGTAGTGCACAACTATAATCCTAGCACTCAGGAAGCTGAAACAGGAGGATCTAGAGTTCAAGCCAGCCTGGGCCACAAAGCAAACTCAAGGCCAGCCCAGACAAAATGAACGGATTAAAGGCACAACATCTGCCTTAGATGATACAGAACTGGAGTGTAAGGAACCAGCCCATATCCATGAAGGACCAGGGCAGAATGTGGACAGACTACAAGTAACAGGCAGATGGGAAAATAAAGCACTGGGGATAGGACAGAGCATCGCAGGAAATACTGTGCTCACCGTAACTGCAGTGGGGAGATCTGTCCATTTACTGTGGGATGCCAGACTAGTGAACCATTTTGAGATTTTCTTGAGTGTTGTGGGTTTTAAAGTAGCCTTATCTACCCTGTTTTTCTCTTTCTTTGTTTTTGTTTTTGAGACAGGATCTTGCTACGCAGCCCAGGCTGGCCTCAAACTTGCTGTGATCTTCCTGCCTCAGCCTCCCAAGGGGCTGGAATTACGGTGTGCAGCACCATGCTCAGTTATGCACCCTGTTTTTAAACTCTAACATGAAACAAATAATTCCTCTATTGTTCAAGCACATTCCAGTTTATTAGATGAAGGACCAAACTAAGAGTTTAGCTTACTGCAGCCCCTACTGTCCTAAATTCCCTGTGGACAAGTGTCCTGTTCCCTACTACCAATGCCTTACCCCATGCCTTTGCTCATTTTAGCCTTACATAAATTTACTAAAATAATCTTTTGCATTAAAGATAAATTCTACATATCCTGTCTGTGGCCCCAGGAAATGAATCTTTTGTTTATTTTTGTGACTTAACAATCAGTTTTCTTTAAAATTGAAAGCAAACGCTGGTGGGGGTGTAGCTCAGTGGCACAGTGCCTGCCCAGCAAGCATGAGGTCCTGAGTTAGATCCCTGGGACCAGAAAAATAAATGCTGCGTTCACAATGGGAGAATTAATGTCATATGTTTGGGTGTTTTTATCTCAGCCGACCTACTTCATCTGGAAACATCCTGCCAATTCCGTCCTATGAGACAAAGCTAATAAGCATTTTATGTAGCAAGATGGACAGATAACCTCAGTATTTCTTTTAAAATGCTTAAAAAATTGAGAGTACTCCCCCACCGTGAGCAAGGCATGAGATTCAGTGCCTAGCACCCCCAAAACAAAAACACCTCAGAATCGCTTCTCGGCCTTTTGGCTAAGATCAAGTGTAGCAAAAAGACCTCAGACATTTGTTTATTGGAAAGAGCACAAATTAGGTTTAAATCTTAGCTTTACCACTTACCATTTGATTTTGAACATTTATGAGTGTTTAGCTAAATTTTTTCAAGTTTTCAAGTTATACATTGTATCTCATTAGTAGGTTCTAAAGTTAACTTAGCAGAATGCAAAACACCATTTTTAAAAAGTGAAATGAAACCAGGCATGATGGTGCACGCCTGTAATCCCAGCACTCGGGAGGCTGAGGCAGGAGGATCACTGTGAGTTTGAGACCAGCCTGGGCTACATAGTGGGTTCCAGGTCAGTGTCAACTACATAGTGAGACCCTGTCTCAAAAAACAAAAACAAAAAACAAAAAGCAAAATGAAATAGAACAAAAAATATCAAACTATAATAGTAGTACATAAAGTAAATATTTCATGTTTACATATTTGTCAGTGACCATACATTTCTTTTTATGAGTTGAAGTAAAATATTTGAAAAGCAGTGACTTAAACTTTCCAAAGCTCAGTTTCCATGAAATGAGTTAAAATCTCTTTCATGGGGCCATAGTGAGGAATAAATGAGGAAATGTCTGTACTTAGACATAGTAGGGGATTCATGTAGTAATTGCTAGCTTCTTTTTAATTTTTCTGGGGGAAAAAGCTCATATCTATAATTTTTAAAAAATTAACTCTTTATAAAAATGTACTAACCATAAATAAAGGTGTTTTAAGCATACCTGGAAATATATTACAACATGAG